ACTATTATTTACGGTAAAAAGTATTGTATAATGTCAATTTACAGATCATTAATAATATTTAATTGTAAACATTAAATGTTAAAAATATATTGGAAGTATAAATTAGTTCGGTCCGTTTTTTTGTGTTCAAAAATGCATTTATTTCAAAACGAAATGAATGAACAGATTAATTAAAGTATTGTCCATCTCTGGCTATTACTTTTTTCCATCTCTCAGGCAATTTTCGAATTCCATCTCGAAAAAATGACTCGTCTTTGGATCCAATTTTGGAGCCAATTTTCGATTTCCGCGAAAGAAGTGAACCGGTGACTTGCCAAATCGTGCTGCATCCTTCGGAACAACCAGTAATCAGAAGAAGCAATGCCCGGAGAATACGGCGGGTGCAGTAAAACATCCCATTTGATTGTTTCCAAATATTTTTTTACGACTTTTGCGACGTGAGACCGAGCGTTGTCATGAAGAAAAATAACTTTATCATATCTTTGCTCGTATTCCGGCCGTTTTTCTTGCAATGCATGGCGAATCAAACGAATCAATTGTAGCGGATACCGATTGCCCATAATGAAATCGCCAGGTTTCAGCAGCTCATAGTAAACAACACCCTTTTGGTCCCACCAGATACAGAGCATGATCTTCGTGACCACCATGAATGTTCGACTTTGGTGTTGATGTTGAGGTCGATGGCAACGATTGACCGGGTTTAGCGTATTTTTTCTTCTTGGGGTTGTCGTAGAATATCCACTTCTCATCTCCAGTCACAATCCGATGCAAAAAATTCTTTTCTTTGTTGTCTTTAAATCAGCTGTTCGCAGTGAAAAATCGCCTTTCAACGTCTCTCGGTTTCAGTTCATAAGGCACCCAATTTCCTTGTTTTTTAATTATTCCCATGGCTCTTAATCGTGCAGAAACGACTTGTTGAGTTACTCCCAATGATTCTGCAAGTTCTCCTCTTGCGTTTGACTCTGATCTTCTTCGAGTAATGCCTCTAATTCTTTGTCTTCGAATTTTTTTGGCTGTCCAGAGCAAGGCTTGTCTTCAACGTTGAAAGCTCCATCCTTGAAACGTCGAAACCATTCCCTACATGATTTATCAGTTGGAGCAGTGTCACCATAAACTTCGACAAGCATTCGATGGGTTTCCATATATGTGCTATTGCTCCGACAGAATTATTTGACACTATAAAGCAACATTAAGAAAATGAAGTTAATTCATGATTTGTTTTACAGACAGGTGCCGGTTTACATTGCACTCCGATTTTATATTTAAATCGTATTATGAAAAAACTAAGAGAGAAAAAATAATATAAAT